TTAGTCGCTATCTTTCATTGTTCGTATGACATACATAGATTAATATCTCACCATGTATAATGTATATACTATATATTACCCATCACCTATATGTAAAAAACCCATTTTTTAATTGACGAAGGTATACAGACATTTTGTAGGTACCAACCAGAATTATAATAATACAAATGTAGAAGATGTTATTCTTGAAATAGCATAACATTTTCAATATTGGAAGTTTAAGTTTTGAGTTCAATATATTATCATCCATCGTACTTCTCAGTAATGTAGGTACGCAGAATATACAAAAAAGACAGTGGCCTAGAGACCTACAAAAATAAAAACAAAAAGACACAATAGTGTCATCAATACCATATTTAAATATAATTATTTATGCTTTATTTGTATTATTATTATTTATTTTTCATTAATCAAAAAGGTTATTTTAATATTAAAATATTATGCACTATACTCATCTGCATCATACAAGTTGCAAAAAATATTATTTCGGCACGTTTTCATCACGGTGAACTATCAATTATTTGCGAGTAATTGTCTTGCGGTAAATGATTTACAATGAATTGGCGGGACACCACCGTTCGGTTTAATTTGTTTGTATATTTTATGCATTTTTTTTTAGAGTACCTTGCATCAAGGACGAATGTTTTTTGTATCGTCGTAGTCTCATCTGGTCGTAATATTATATAGACTTGAGCACGAGATAAAGATCCCTAGAAATCAAAATCTCCGACGATTATCAGCTACTATAGAAATCCCCTGTGGTCTTAAAGGATCATATAATATCGTTTAATAATAATAATAATAATATAATAATAATATGCACTCATTAGCGACGCATCGTTAACTACCAGCGTGTGAGTCGACGAGTTTGTTGGCACATCATATAATGTTGTTTTCGACTGCGATGAATGGAAATATTATAATATGTACGGTGCCCTCGAGACCCGAGTAAGTGGCCACTCGTCCGCGGGATTTGTTGACGGTGCTAGTCGATGATCTCGTCGAGAGTTTTTGTGAGCGCGCGGGAAAGAGGTATAATAATTATTAAGGGATTTAGATGCATGTTGTGGGGGAGAGTGGGGGGAGGGTGGTGAGGTTGTGTGGACGAGGAAGAGTGCACTCGAAACACAGCTCGCTAAGGGTATATAATATAATACTTACGATTATATTTACGTACCTATACCTATTATTAATTCCATGTGGTAATGTATAGGTATAATATAGGTATCTGCTTGGTGATGTTTACGCCAGCGACCTCGATTTTATCTTTTTTTTTTTCGTTTTATTGATCGTAGGTTTCCCTCGTTGGAAAAGCGAAATCGGAAAATCTTGTCAGCACGTGATCATGATTCCGCCACGATGGCACATTTTAGGAGGACCATGGTAATGAATATATATCGATTTCCCCCCGCTCCAATGGACCTTTTTTGTTCATACCATTGTTGTTCCTGCACTATACAGTATAACGATGGGATCGAAGAAACGTTTCTGAAGAGCTTTATAGGTTTTACAACTGTGTGTGTGTGTGTGTGTGTGTATGAGTTTATGTTTTATGCTTTTTTTCGGTCAACACTTTTTGGGCCACTAAAATCACTTGAAATGTTTCATCTGAACTTCTGAAATACTTTCGCTAGATTCGAAATTGGATATGCATCTGGCTTTAAGACGTTTCTAGAATTTTGATAAAACCACGTAAAATGAGTACAGTGTTAAACAAAAACATCAATCGTGTAGCAAGTGATACATCACTATAAATATAAAATACGCAATTAAGTTAAATAATTGGTCCATCAATAAAATACTGTTGAAACATAATATTATATTACTATAACTGCACAGTTTTACCGGCACTTAAATTAAAATCAACTAAGACACAGTGTACAATTATTTTGGTACACATAATGTACAATAAAGATTTTGGGTGTATACATTTAAAATTACGTGCCATTATTTATCATACAAATATATATATACATATATTTTTTTTATTAAGACAATACAATATTCTCAACGGCATGGGCCATTAGGTTAACAATATTTATATATTATAGGTACATTAAATTGAAATGTGCTAAAGAGTATAATAATTAAAATAGTTCATAAATATTAAAGGACTTACATACGTTTTTGAAATAAATAAATATTTTTACATTAGAAGTTGTGTTTGTCAAAAGATAAACAATTACTATAATAATTTTCTATGATAGAAAAAAAAATATTTAAATAAAATAAACAAAAAAAAAATAAATTTACAATAAAGTGAATATTTTTTATCTTATTAAGAACTAAATAACTAATATGTATTATATTAATTATATTATTACTCAAATTGTTTTTTATTGCCTCAAATTTTATATGAAATGTTGTCTTTCAGTTTTCTAATAATACTCTTTAAAGTCTAAAAATCTGTTCATGATTTGTTTTATCGACACCAATATAGTGTTGTAACAGCTATGTCACTTTCAGATAAGTTTTTGAAAAAATTATGGATAGCCACATAAAAGTTACCAGATATTGATATTTTATATTACTTAAAAAATATATCATGAGTTATGATGTGTTGTGTATTTTAGTATTCTTTCACTACTGGCCCGTTATTTTAAACAAACATGTTACTTTTATCGTTTACCTATATTTTAATTCTTATTATTTTATTTAAGTTGAAGTCTAAGTTACCAATGAGTTGTAATTGATTATTCATATTGTAGATTATGATGTAAACACATTTTATTGACATTTCACTGTAATTAACTTAGAATCAAATCCCTTGCAGGTTACTCGCAATAACGTACATCTCATAAACGGTGACCTCCTCGAAGTAATAAAAACGCAATTACCAAAAGTAGGAGTCCGCCAATCGACTGTCAACAATAATGTTCGATAAAAAAAATGCACAGAAAGTTTAAATCTCTTTCTATATGCACAACTATAATAATAGTATAATAACTTATAACACTTTTAAAAATAGCTGGAGAAGGGGCTTATCATTCTAAGAATCTAAACTATACCACAGGACTATTATAATTTATAGTATATATTATAAAGAGTAAATATATGATTGTACAAGTTTCTAAGTTAAACGAATATAGAAGAGATTTCATGAATATTATATTATGTACCTTAACAGGTTAAAAAAAAATAAAATGTATTTGTTAATTTTGCTAGGTAACCTTGGTTACCAATAAGTAAGACCTTTGCTTGGATCGTCTTCGATTTATTTTTTTTTCTGCCGATAAATACCGATAAAAGTTTGGTCAAAAAAAAATTGTCATAGTTTGTATTATGTATCTTATCGGTTTCGTCACAGGTTGTGTAATGTTAAATTTTTATTTGTCACAGCTTACACATCGGCCACTAGAAAAAGGTTTATTTTAGAGCTGTTTACCATTTCCCAACGTTTAGGCAGACCTTATCGTGGTCGTAGACTTACAAAAAACCTTAACATCATGGTGAAGTGAAATTTGTAGACAGACGCGGGCAAAAATGTATTGTCGAAACTCAACATCAATACATCATATCACTCTGTCAAATCCATGAACTAAGTTTTAATAATGACGTATGGCGGCGTGATATCCAATATTCTAATATTACTTCCAGCTACTGTCGATTTGCATTATTATGCGAATATGTTAAATGTAAAAACAACTTGTTGTTTTCACCTTTGATCTAGGCTTCCTGTTATTTAGGCTTTACGGGTGCACTATATGTATAGAAAATTGATTATTAATACCTATACATTACATAAATTATACTAAATATATGATGTATTGCCTACAGTATATTAAAATTCATATAATAACTAAATTGAAATCTAGATTTACTACAATTTGTTGATTTATAAAAAAGAGCAACTGTACATTTAAAATATTCTAAAATTGCAAAAATATAAAATATACAATTGTGTACCCAAAATCGTCATAGGTCACGAAACAGATTTCGGTATAATGGGTAGGAATTTTTTCACCAAACAATAAAAATGCGAAGCCATATATTTATACAGCGGGGAATGGTAAAATCCTACAAATGTTGGTAATCTCCTACGTGCAAATAGTGTTAATTCCTACAAAGATTGTGTTAACTCCTAAAAACGAGATTTTTTGCAGGTGGGTAGGTAACGCTCATACCGCTGTTGTGTCCTCCAGCATACTTATATAAATTATCAAATGTAATAATTTCTACATGACCTATAAATTAACTATGCATTGATAAACCTATAAATAAAAATAAAAACACTTATGTTCAATTTGATTAAATTTGAGTTCTGGTTTTGATTTTAAGAATTGTAAAATATAGGTTAGAACAAAGTTTTTGGTTCTTAAATTTGTGTGCGTGAAGTCGGGGGGCCCAAATTCACGCACATCTTAAATTTGCTTCAGAAACCGCCAAACCGGTTCTTTCGGTTTTGGTTGGTCCAAGTCTCTGACCTGGGTATGCAAGTATAGTTGATCAAATTTTGATTAGATTTTCCAAATTATACAAACATTGTGGCTACATTTGTTACCCAAGTAGTATGCAGTCTGCTATAATAGTTGCACCTCACGTTTAAAATTATGCCTGCTTCATGGCAAGCGTATGTAAACGTCGTCGTAGTCGAGAGGGAACGAAAAATATATCCAAAATCAGGGACTCCAATTTTTTCTTTTCACGATTTTTGTTCATATTACACATAATTAATGCGATTTGATTATGTGGGAAAGAAATTCGATGTTTCATAACGCGCGGTATTACAGTAATAACGAGTGAAATCGATTCGGCGGCGGCGCGGTGGCGGTGTTGGTGGCGGTACTCGCGGCGGCGCGTTTACAATATAATATAATTCCTTTTCACGTCGCCATTTTGTAACCACTTGACATTTGCATATAGGAGAAACAAAACAACAGAAAAAAAAAAATCGGACCCGTAACAATACTCACACGTATATAATATACACGGCTGGTAGGCTGGGTGAGCGGGAGGGCGGTCGTGGGTTGTTATAAATCCTTTGCGTGACGGCCGTTTAAGCCGTTTCGTTAGTATACGCTGCTGTCGTGGGTTCGAGCGAGAAAATCGTATACATTATACAGGGCGCTTTTCACGCGAGTCAGTCAGTCAGTCGATCGGTCTACCTCGGACCCACAATAGTAAGTAAGCAGCGGCAGAGGTAGTACCTATATATGTATATGTATCGAGTGTTCGTTAAATACATATACTTATAACGTACAGGATGTTTCAGCGTCAACTACTTTTCTCTATTCTATAAGTTTGAAATATGATTTTGGAAACGAATACTTTATTATTGTAGAGATCAGCACGATAAGTGTTAGTAATGTATCATTTTTGGTTTACCTCAACTCGGAATTTAAATATTATGGTTTACCTCAACTCGGAATTTAAATATTAGTATTAATCTCGCTTATCGTAGGAACTATAATGATACTAGCTATGTGGCTACTTATGGAGTTGATTGATTTGAAAATGTTAAAAGTAGAATTCAACATTTCCATTAAGAAGTATTTAAATAGTCGCGGTTATGCGTGCGTATTTAATATTATAGGCAGGATGCGCGCAGGGGTGTCATACCGGAATTCGTCATGATGGCGGGCGAGTGTGTTCAAGGACAAATACGAGGTGAGACACCCGATATATATTTATATATATATATATAAATAGGTGGTAAGCTTGTGACGCTTATGTGCTTGTGCGTGTACGAGTGTGTGAGTGTGCGTGTGCGAGCCCGGCTATACAGGGGATGACTGAGCGCTGACGACAGAGCAAGCGAGCAAGCGAGCAAGTAAATATAATAATAAGTACGCGTTTCCAAACTTATAGTTATTGAGTTTTTTTGCCGTTTTTATGGGATTCTATAGTTATAATATCGTGAGAAAATAAACACCGTAAACAGGAAAGCGTGAATCAATCTCGCCGCCATCAAATCTAAGCCGCCGCGGTCGTTCCGGAAGTATTGTATTGTAATATATTATATAGATACACACTCGAGCGGTAGGTAATATAATAATTATATAATCATATAATATCCTTAAGCGTGAAGTTTGGCCAGATGACGTCGCGTCGTGTACACACACTGCGCTGGGCTGTACACAACATTCGCGTACATATTATAATAATATCATAAACACCGCAGGTTCGGAGACGGAAGTCATGTAGCGCGGCGGCGCGGTGGCGGCACCGGCGTTGGCGGCGACGGCGGCGGCGACGGCAGCGGGTGCACGCCAAGAGGTTACACTACACCTCAGTTTCGGTCGGCTTTGCATCGCCAACGGTCGTCGGTCGCGAGGACTTTGGCACCGAAACGCGCTCGTCAAGAGTCGTACATTATGGTACGTACCGCCGATGTGCGCGCGGCGTGATACGCCCCCGTTTTTTGGTCGGGGGGGTTGATATCTGGAGATCAGAAACGAGCACGCACGCACGCGAACCTTTGCCACCGTCGCCACTGACGTCGAGGACACAGCAGCCATTCCCGGGACCGGCAGTAGCGTCCATCGAAACGAAACGATAATATTATTATGAAATCACTACTACTTACGTGGTCACCGATTTTGTACCTGTACGAGTTGTTGTGCGCGTAAGGCCGGCGGCTCGACTTTAAAGGCAGTTGTGTGCGTGCGTGTGCGAGCAGATCGCAATCCGTGCCACATTATATCTCTGCAGATTTAAAATAATATTATGATCATTTCGTTTTCGAGTCCGAACGTTTAACGAGGCAGTACCACCTATACACAGGTACGAAGACTGCGATACACGTGCGTTTAACTCTCGGCACGTGCAGCTATTATTACTATCGGTGGGTGAAGCTAATAAGATCGATACATTATTCTCCACGTTTTTAATCTTTAATATTATATTAAATATGAGACTTTAAGACCTCGCAATCGGTCGGACGGTCCTAAACGTAACAAAATATATGATATTATGTATAATTTTTATATTACATTATTATGTAATTACCCATCGCATACGTGTGCGTGTGTTACAGGTGTTCCGATGGGGTGGACGTTACAACAGCCCAGGTCCCGTCATTTGTTATTGCTATTCATAACGTTCGCGTCATGCATCACGGTCGTGTTCATCTCCAAGTCAGGTGAATGATTATTTGATCGTAATATTTTAATAATTACCTACTCACGTCTTCTGCCTTAAACCGCGCGTCGTATCTTTATAATAGTACAAACATATTTTGTCACTTGTAATATAAATGGGATGATAATTATTCTATTGCAGAACACTCGTTATACCTTCTTCTGACTGTCAAACCTCAAGATTCACACTTTAAGTATACATTTGTGAATAAGGACCACCCTGTTCAATGTTAATAGATACGTGGGTATTACCGATTATATAGTAAGACTGTATCTATATTATAATATAATTTCCACTTAAATTATAAGTTTCAACACTGACCATATTTGACGACGTTACGTATTATTAATATTTTATCCAATAATTATATCATGATTCATAATATTTAAATGTAAATAATCAATTATTTATTTGAATAAGATAAAATACAGAATTTGGATGTGGTTCATTTATATTAGAAATTGCAGTATTCATAGCAATCGTTACTAGGTATTAGTTTTATCTTAATCGTTTTCTACATCAAGATGATTATGGGAAATCCATCTCTTTGCCAAAAATTACATTCGGTGACAGTTTTTAATATAAATGAATCGCATCCTAATTCCGTCGTATATCTTACTCACATATATAATTGATTATTTACATTTAAATATTATGAATTATGATATAATCATTGGATAAAATACTAATGATATCGTAACATCATCAAATATGGTCAGTGTTAAAACTTGTAATTTAAGTGGAAATTATATTATAATATAGATACAGTTGACACTATAATCTATAAACATTGGACAGGATGGTCATATATATTGTCATCAGCGTAGGTACAATTACAAACGCAAGGTCTCAATAAGACTGATCATAGTGGCCGCTTAAGATATTTTAAAATTCTAGGAAAATATATATTATTCAGCCACCCTCTTTTTAGTTACCCATCAACAAATCAATTAAAAAAATTGTCGAATTTGAATGCTTTTGTTAATATAATTTTTAGTTAAATATATACCCCTCATGTAATATATTATATAAAATATAACTCATCACAACTAAATATTATACTGTCTTAAAAAAACATTGCTGCCTAGGGTTGTTACCAATTTTATTAATAAATTAGGTTGGCCCTTCTCTCCATATCGACAATTCATATTGGGGTAAGGGGTGAATTTTAAATTCTATATTTTTGTAATACGTTTACCACTATACCGACGTGTTTATACAATTAATGACTGTCACTTTATCAACATTTGTAAAATCAATTCAATTTGTGGCTCTAAAAAAAAATGGTGAAATCATTAAGGTAATATTTTCTGTAAACTTGCAAGTTTCCTTTTGGCAAATAATATTTGTATGATGATTTATGATAAATGATTCGAGTTTCCGGATTCGTACACAACATATAATAATTGATAATACATTCAGATTTAATGGTTTTTCGGTGTTGCAAAACGATAAGTATACATATTATAATTATTCCATCTATGGTGTAAACTGTAAAGTCCCCATTACAAATACGCTCTGTATCATACGAGACGGTTGAGTTAATAAGGTACCGCCGGCACCTGCACTGTAAAAAATGTAGTTAAATTTCAATTAACGAAGCAATGTAAATTTACACAGAATATGTATGTTTATTAATTTTGCATGTAAAAGTAAGTAAAATTGTCATGAATATTTAAGTAAATAATGTTCACATACATTTCTGTGTAAATTTCAACCGAAAATGTTGTGTAAATATACAAAGGTTTTCAAACTAAATTCATTTTATGTGTAAAATGTTAGTAAATTTATCACAATCACATATGCAAATTTTGTTTGTATACATTTTTGTGCGTATTTCAACTACGATTGCCTTTAAATATACAAATGTTATCAAAGTAAATTAAATTGTACATCAAAACATTGGTAAATTTATCATATAGTCACATAAGTAAATAAAGTTTACAAACACGTCTGTGTAAATTTTAATTTCTGATATCAATGCTATTAAGTGCTATTTGAGGGAGGGCCTAACCTAACCATGGTTTATACCGTATGTGATCAAAGTAGGTACCTATGTGGAGCACGTGAGTCAGCGAAATATTGATGAATTAAATGTTTGAAATACTTCGACAGACATTTTCTTATAGTTATGAAGTGTATTTGCAGAGCACTGAAATAGTTTATTGTAAAACAAATATCTACAATTATTAGAGAACATACAGCCATTGTGTTTTCTTTTTTTCTCTAATGAATTTATTAATTTTCCATAGATTTTAATAATTCACCTGCATAGTACCTATACACACACAATTACTTGCAAACAAGTGCCATTTATTGGTATTTATTTTTTGCTTATTATATTATTATGATTATATTATTACCTCTCACAAATCACCTATTTATTTATTTATTTATGTTCTTACAGACCAATTTTATTAGAATGGTTTAAGTGTGAATTATATCTCATCATATTGGTTTCTTATCGTTTTTACCATATTGTATTATGACATGATTGTAGTCACGTAGGTATATAAAAATAATAGCTAGGTAAATTCGTACACTAGCGGAATATACACAATAAATTATTAAAAAAAAACGGTAGTTGTGAGAATAAAAAAAAATCAATACTTTAAATACATTGGTGTTTCCAATCTGTGAGAAATGAGTTCATGTGATTTTTAGTATAAATAAAACATAATGGTATAAAATGTTTGAAAACAAAATAAAATATATTTTGACATTGATGGGGTCTACGTCAACTACGTATTACAGTAATATTTTTTTCTACGATAAATTTTCACCATTATTTCAGATAAAATATAAGTATATATGGGATGATCCATTTAATCGGCTGCAGTAATTTTACAAAAAATATTTCTGGGCTTAAAAAAATGTGCTCAGTAAAATATAGTTAAAATCAATAATTGTATAGAATTACATATTTTATTAATCTGATTTTTATACCAACTTTTTTTTTATTAAAGTGTTGTACTAGGTTTTTTCGTTTTCACATTTATAACTTCGTTAAAAAAAAGCAAAATAATTGTCTAGAATTTCTATGTAATCCAAGATCCAACAAAGTGTGATTTTCGATACGAATATAAGGAAAGCGAAGCCACCGGCATCCTCGACAATTTGATTTTTCATATGTCACAGTTAGAGACTTGTGTACGTGACTGACACGCCGTCTTAATTTATTAATCAATTTCAACCCAATCCTATTTAAAAATTTTTGGTGTAAGAGTATGGGTGCATATATAAGAGGGAAAAATATGGTCGGGGGGGGGGGGGCTACATTATTTTCAGATAATATATAACTATAAGTTGACTACATATTATAATAGTATTTATATAACATTATAGATACGATTTTATAACAATATTAAAAATGTTATTTATATTTTAAATGTATTGATTTTAAGGCGTATGAACTATTTATTATATAAATAAATACATAATATATAACATATTCAAAGGGGTGAGGGTTCTAAATTCCTTAAGCAGTTTAGACCCTTGGATTCGCGCCTTGTATGTGTGATGTGTGCAGTGTTTGTGCACGTCATAGGAGTCCGAGAAGCAGATAAACGTGACCGCGTGTCATAATATAATATGTACCTACCTACTCACAATACGGAGCAGTGAGTATAAAATAATCGATACAAACAAATAATGTCCACATCTATTGCCTAGCATTAAATTAAAATTAAATCGCGTGTTTGTGGATTAATTCAAAGCCTGCTATTATTAAACATGTAAAATATATACATAATACATACAATATGTATATACAGGGTGATCCAACAAGTATCCTCACCCCTTTTTTTCTTTAATAATGAAGTTTTCAAAATCTGATTTTTGGAATCTTTAAATGTACTCAAAGAACATATTTTCATAACCTTGAGATTTTTTGTGCCACTTAAGGAGTGTCCTGTGGTGATACGAACCTTTTTTTTCAAATGAGAACCCCACTTTTTTTCTTGAAACTATTTAGCAGATAATTTTTTTAAGAATTTTGATGTATCGAAATCAAAATTCGAACGAGTGGTTTCCAAGTTATTGGACAGTTTGTGCCAAGGATAATAGTCCATAATAGGGGAATGCTTATACATTTCTACACATGGAATAAGAAAAATAACTAAATTAATCAAGAAGGATTTTACTTGCTATTTATCTAAGTGTTTGACTAAATAAATATAAAATGACGTATTATTTTATATTATGTGTATAGACTATAGATAACAACGTATACTGTATAAACATACTTATATATATACTTCTTCCCTATTATAAACTATATTATCCTTAGCACAAAATGTGTAATAACACTAGAAAACTACTCTTTCAAATTTTGATTTCAATACATCAAAATTCTCAAAAAAATTATCCGCTAAATAATTTACAATAAAAAAGTGGGGTTCCTATTTGAAAAACAAAAGTTTGTATCATGACAGGACACTCTTTAAGTGGTACGAAACATCTCAAGAATATGAAAATATGGTCTTTGAGTATATCTAAAGATTCCAAAAATCAGATTTTAAAAAACTTCATTATTAAAAAAGAGGGGGGAGAGGTGAGTATACTTGTTGGATTACCCTGTATATATAGGTAAATACGTATGTTCTTAAAGTATTAAAGGTATTTTTATATTTTTATTTCGTCAGACAAAATATAAAAAAATTCCTATACATATTTTAGTTTATTTGAGATATCGTGGATTTGCTACTTTATCGGTAAGCTTTAAAAATTGATTGTTTTATTTTATCCCTAACACTATAGATGTATAATACGCATTTTGTATCCCAATAGCTACTATTGCCGAGAGTAATGTCAAAAAAAAACTAATTTTATCTTGCTGTTCCCTATTAATTATTATATATTTATATTTTATAGTTAATAATATAGGTATACCTACTATTTATATAATTAGGATTATTTTATTACATATTTATATAATATGATTTATTATATTATAATATAATTACTGGTCATAACATTTTTCCAGTTTTTTCAATTTTTTTC